CATTCCGTTGTTAGAAAACAATTGTCATATTCAACGTACATGAAAGTTGCAGACTGGTGATAAATGGAGTTGCCACTTCAGCTGGCCTTCTTTATGGTTCGGATAGTTTTTATTGATGATGTACTTGGGAAAAATATTTTCGCTTTTCCATTATCAGGATAATTGAGAGTAGGCTGTTTGGTGAAATGGTTATTGTATACTTATTAGTATTATTAATACTGCGTAAGTGGCGTTTTGATTTAATACAAGTAGCATGAACCATCATTATATTATATTTGGAAAACACTTTTCGTGGAACTGTAGTATTAGCTAGAAGATCAGTAAATTAATTTTTGAAAAAGAAAGTTTAAATTTTGACTTACATACACATACTTATTTCACGTTTAGTGTTTAACGATTGAGAATTACTTGAACAAGATTATTACTAGCAAATTGGATTTTCTAGCTCAAACATGAAATTCTTGTTGAACGGCTAAATTCTGTATCAAATTTGTATTTCTAATATATGTCTTTTTTGCATTTTTGTTTGCAGTTAGTATCTGTATTAGATTTAGATTTAAATTCAGATTTGGATTTAGATTTATCAGATATACAATTCACAATTTTACAATTAAATAACAAAACAACCAAATATAAAATACAAATAGAGGAGTGCTAAACTAATTTAATTTTGTGTCTTGATTTTATGAAACTTGATATTACGTCTTCGTTTAGAGCATCTTCAAAAGTTGAGGTCCTGTATATCCATTAATTCGCAGAAATTATTAAAAAGTTTAGAAGCTTTTCTAAAAAAAGGAGCAGTACCAGAGACGAAGAAAAATATTTCACAGCTAAGTAATACTCAGTTATAGCCAAAAATTTCTGTATTTGTAAGATATCACATATAATTAGTAACAATAGATATTTATAATATGAAGGGGATGGTCACTGTATTTCTTGAAGTCAAAATTAATATATTCAGAAATGTCATAAAAACTGTTGGCTTTTAGTAAATTAATCAAAACGTTGTAGTAAACGTAGTATTAAGCTTAAAAGTCGATCCTTTGATAGTTCTATTCCCTGTGAAATAGTGGGAATTAGACATGGAAGATAAATTAAAATACTCGAGATTATTTTTTATAAAGAGAAGTGTAATAAGTAGGAATATGTTAGGAACGGTAAGAATGTTATACTTCTGAAAAATATTTCTACAACTTGTCATCGAGTTAAGAGAGAACATGATTCTTAGTACTCTTTTCTGAAGTTTGAAAACATGTTTTAGTTGAAGTTTTAAAAAGTGATTGTAAAATGAACTATTAGCAGTAAATACAAACACGAAAATTTGTATACAATATTACTTCATATCAAAAACAGCTATACATTGTTTTGCCAGGGGTATTATTATTATAATTCAAAGTTATTTTCTATTGAAAGTACATGAACAGTTTCAAAACACCTGCAGACTAATGTTACTTGAAATACAGCATTATAGAAGTCAGAATAAATAGAATTTCTGCTCTATTTATATTTTCATTTTATGTCATTTATCTAAATATAAAATAGCAAAATATCACATAGAAATATAAAATTAAAAATACCATGAATACGGTTCTCAAGTCGACCCTACTTTGTATATCGTCTGCGCAGTCATAGCAGAGCCTTCACCTGGGAATTTCTCTGCTGTCAAATTAAGTCTCGTCAAGCTAGTAAGGTAGAGAAACCTTGATCAAAATATTGAGTTTCAAATATTTAGATGAGAATATAGTATTCTATTCAAGGTATTTTCAAAAAACAATGAACAAAATTTAGAAACTAGTTGGTATTGGTATTTAGCCTTGAGGCAAGTTACATGAACTTCCCGACATGTGTAAATAATCGACTTAATCAATAAAAAATAAATTAATTTATGAGTGATTAAAAGTATTCCGAGTGGTTTATTACACATCATTGAAAACGAACGAACACGTTAATTAGGAGTATTTTCAAAAAGCAACTTTTCAAAAATCAACATTTATTATATTTGAACCAGTTTCCGTAGGATTTTAATGGTTTAGTATGTATATTAAGACCAAGTACTATATTGTTTTACCAAGAAAATCGTCTAATTTTAATTTTAGCTAACGTCAAAAAAACTACTAATTTTCTCAAACTTTGATGAATTTTTAAAATTAAATCACTTGTCGTAAGGCCGTAATATTACAGTAAGCTCTATAAGACCATGATATATATCGCTAAAAAAAATCCATAAAAATCGGCTTAAATTTTTTTTCAACAGTTAATTACAAGAAAACGTCTCGGTAGATTTTCACCTAAAACTAATCAGTACCATTCCCAACTAATATAATATCTTTCGAACAGTTTTTGATTTTTTAAAATCGGTTCGGTAGGATGAGCTTAAATGTGGATAAAAAGTTTAACACTTTTTTTCAAATTACAAAGAAACGGCTTGGCAGATCGTCGCACAAAACTGACAAACGATAGTCCATCGAAATACATAGAATGGCTTTTAAATTTTTTGAAATCGGCCCAGCCGTTTTCAAGAAAACGTCGATTTACGGCAAAAAATCTGTTCACATACACACACACATACTTTTTCCAAATTTGGTCTCATTCGATCAGAATGGCTTGAAACGTCGAGAAAACATAAAATTGGCGAATCGGATTTTTTTATGAAAACATAAACTTCTCCTTCTGGAAGTAAATTATTGATATAGATCTATATATTGGAATTTATCATTGTTCAATATTAGATGCATGCGAAATAAACCATGCACGTCAAAAAAATATAATTCTTATTTTAATCCTAATAAAATAGAACATTAATAGGAAAAGAGTTTATTGGAACTTCAATAGGGTTATCAGAAAAAGTTTGCTGCGGGTACTTTAAAACTATTCTAACCAGGAAAAAAATACTTATGCATTTATATTGAACAAACATCTTTAATTATGGGTCATTTACTGTGGGTCAAATTTGATCATAGATACAAAGCTATAATCTATTTTACTGTAAATATTATTTATTTACCATTATTATTTTTATCTCCAATTAGCAACTTTAGCGACGGCGACAGTATAAATCGCAGATGCAAAGTATTCCTAATAATAGTCAAAGTTAGGCCAAACTAAATTAGTTTTGTTGGTAGTTATACCCTCGGACGTGATCTCTCTATAAATATCATAAAGCAATTTCACGTACATGTTCAAAAGTTTCTTTAATAGAGTTTGGGCTAAATGTTGGGTATTACAATAATGGACTAATGTTTATTCAATAGTTATATGCGCAATTCAGAAACGTTGCGCTGAGTTGTGTTTATATAATATAATAATAATTTGGAAACGTGCTATGGGGATGTGCAATTAGTTTTGCCTCTGCTATAGATGGATAACTATAAAATCAAATTCATCCCAAGAAACTTTAACAATCTGCAGAATATCTTTGTAATTAGTAACTCCTCATTCGCCATGTTTACTGTTACTCGACCAACTCATTTATTAATTTGGCACTGATGAATGATGCATGTTCTACCGAAAGGTAGAATAATAGTTCGACTATAAATTATTTGCACTAGCATATCGTTCGTAAGACTCATTGTTAATTGACTAGTATATCATTTGAATAAAATCTATTCTGCAAAATGTTGTTTGTGAAGAGAGAAAACTAGGTTATCTAAACATTGAATGGAGATACAAATGAGGTAAATTATGCATGGAGGGAGGGATGTCAGGTAAATAATTCAAAATGCAGTTGTTATAAATTAAAATTCAAATTCAACTTAAATAAAAGAAAATGTAATATAAAATAGAAATAGAACTAAGATGTCTTTGTAGATGAATTACTAAACACAAAAAAAAAAACAAATACAAAATTTAACTTCACTATCTAAGTGTTTCTATAACGCGTAACATATGTAAATATTGAATCAAATCAAAGTATATTTTTTTATTCATATAAACAACACAACAGTCTATAATTGGTGACCCCAACCCAGTTATTTTATAATCAAATATACTTTTTCAAAATGTTTTTGTTTATGTGTGTGTACGTTTTCAATTTACATGAAACATGTTTCGTAATATCAGTAAAATTCAGGTTTGAATTTGTATACTGTATTTTTCTGACAGTAAAGCAGACGAACATATATGGTGCATATATATTCATTCTTTCAGAAAATAAATCATTTTACAACCTATGTACTAGAGATGGGCTTATTATATCCGAAGCCGGATCGACGCTTAAATACTATTGACGTCACTGATATATTTTGCACTGTAAAGTACTGTTATTTCAGGCTAAGGAAAAACCATATTAAATGTATTTTGTTTCGCGTATTTTTCGGTATGTATATTCCTGATCGCCGTCATTCACGGCCAAAGATTGTCGTAGTTCGAAATATGACTCCTTACTATTCAATAAATTATACATTGGAGCTATTCACACATGAACACAATTTCATTGTTCTGTATCTTTGAAGTAATATTTTTGTATTTTCTGAAAAAAAACGAATACCTAAAAGGTCATAAAACTGCCTGTGAGACGAGAAAGCGACAGCTTTCTTCCCAAAGCAAAAACGCAGTAACAGATTTAGTACCAGTTTAGGGAAGTCGGATATGACAAATTGGATGAGACATCTCCACTCGTATTCACTCCGAGGGAGGAATTGTATCGGAGTGAAAACTCCGGAGTGAGTTACCCATCTCTACTATGTACTGTGTATCGGATCTTCGTCTACGTAGATTACTATCCATAATCACATTTCAATGATCATGTATATATTTAAAAAAAATACATTTGCCGAAATCCAATTAATATATTCATACTGATTTTCAAATACAAGTAGTTATTACATTTTATACATCGAGCAGCAAAACAATTGATTTTAATGTGTATATATATGCTTCATGCTGTGCTCATAGATCAAATATGTGGTTGCTGTGTCTATCGCAAAATAAAGTTTATATTAAAATAATAAAATATGCAAATAATTTATAACGCGATATAAGTTTTTTATTTTCTTTACAAGGGTATGCGTTACTTGCATTCGTCGCCCCTGAGAGCGCACGGCGCTTTGACGTCGCGCAATTGCGTCATAGACGCTCGATGGGTCTTGAAGATCACAGACTACGGGCTTCCGTCTTTCTATGAGGCCCAAGGAATAGTACCGCCCCAAAAATCAGCAAGAGGTAAGTTGTTTATTTCATTCACATATTTATTTATACACCACTAGTTCTTTCCACAATTTTATTCATTTTATATATAAAAAAACCATTATCTTCTGCTTTTCTTAAACATATTATTTGCATAAATCTTATCAAGATCATGTTTCTTGACAGATGTTCTGAAGATGGAACGTACCTAGTCACGACAATAAATAAATAAAGTAATAGTTTTTTGAAAAACTTTTTTTCAATACTTTTTGGATTCTTTGTTCGAAGCTCTATAAAATATTTACAAATCCAAGACTCTACCATCTAATATATATATATATATATATATATATATATATATATATATATATATATATGTATATATATATATATATATATGAGAATATATCTGAATGACGTGTGAAATCAATTTGCACAAACTCCAAAAGTAACCACAATCCATGACGTTCCAAACGTGATATGGAATCTAACGATCTCATTCAAAATCAATTAAATTTGAAATCTAGAACACATTGCAATTAAGGTCATTCCCTGCAAATAACCTTATGATTTCATATTAATGACTGAGTTTTGCGCAGTTGTTCTACGTACCATTAATCATATGTCACGTCGTTAGAAAAATATTTATACTGGACAAATGAGGGTGTCAGATTTTGTAAACATGTTTATGGCATATAGAGCAACCTTCATATAATTCATCTTTTTTGTAATACATAGGTGATAATTAATTTTTCCTCAAAATAATATCACGTCCTTCATACCTGTGTTGTGAAAATATGATATTGATAGCTCCAGTTAACATTGGCTTTACCTTTTATCATATACCGTTTTTAACATATATATTAGAAAAATTGTGATATATTTAAATATAATATCAAACTTTGTTGAAAATGTCGTGTAGTTAAGTAATCTACCCAGTTCATAAGATTCTTTTTATAACTTATTATATGTCTGTGCATAATAATGCTTTTATTCAAATTACTGCAATGCATTTTCTATGAAGTTTTTTATCTTCAGTAGTAAAGCAGTTTCCACATAATTAACAAAATTTAGTGCACCCACGCTGATGGCAAAGCACAAGATAAAGCTGATGCAGACCATATTTTGATAAAATTAATTAAATTTTGCATTATATGGGCATGGTTGTTGCTGACATTTCACATGTTTATACGCACCGTCATACGCAAAATCAAATTAGACTTGACCTATCTAAAAAAAATATTTGTTTTGAATAAATGAAGACATATATGATGACATAAAAGCTGTAGGCAGACCAAGCCTAAAACAACAGAAGAGCAATTGAAATGATTGGAAAATATTCTTTATAAGATGTCAAGAAATTTGTAGCGTGTTATTTGGAATATTTAGTATTTGCCCTACTTTTTTGTTTATAACTGATTTATTATTATTCGAAATCTAAATATTGTTGCGCCTAAATTAAAACCGAGTATTGGTAACAGATATTGCCCTACAATATCATCTAACACTAAATAATAATAATCCAGTATCGATTTTTCTATCAAATGCATGAACCTCAAGTAAATGATAGCAACCCCCGAGAGGAATGAAATTATGGTATTGTCAGATTCAGTAGTTCAAAGGGTGGAAATTCTGGTTTATTGTCGTAACTGTGGCGCTATAATTATCACGGCAAAGTTGCTCCCATGACAACTAGAACTATGCAATATGCACAGCGCATAGTTACCAGGTTTCCTTATGTTAGACAAAGGGCTTCGGCAGCCCCTTTAGTACCCAAAGTGGGTGCATTGTTAATGCGCGTAACAAGGACCAAATAGTTTGTTAGTGATATGCGAATATTGAATATGTTTATTTACTATAGAAATACTTTGAATTGCACAATGAAGTCTGGAGCATCTCATCAGTGTCAAACACAATATCTAGTCACATATAAATACTTGAAAACATTCTATACATGTAGCAAAATAAAATTCATTTCACGACTCGTGTCGTATTGTTATTTAAATTTTTAATTTGCTTATAGTATTTTTCCTTGTATGACCATGAAAGGAGAAAACGCAGTACAAATGTGTTTCTCAAAGAGAAGGTCTTCTGTGCTCAAATTTATGACTCTTTTCAAATGAAATTTTACTATTTCTACTCAATGTATTAGTAATTTACTTCATCCCTATTTGCAAGTGATAAATGATTTCATTTATCACGATGAAGTATTAAATCCCTATAAATAGCGGAACAAATTCATTAATTAGTGATTTAGTAGCTTCATTATGTATATGAAAACTAATTCGATAATTAAGAGAAGAGAAGCTCTCGAATCATTAAGGAGACTAAAACGTATTTCCAAAGGGTTTATTTTTTGTTCAATCTTATTTGCGTAGGTAAATATCTTGAAAGGATAGGTTTTTGAAGCAAGGAGGATGGAATTGATAATGGATAAATAAATATAAAACAATTATAATCAGAAGCATGTACAATGGCTGAAAAAAAATCGCATTTGTCAATAATTTTCGTGTAACAAAATATTGAGTTCAAAGTTATTAAAATTCGCGTCCGGTAGTAGTACGGTTCAAATGACCGTTTTCAAATTTTTGATTGGTATTTTTTTTTACATTAAATGGAAGTGAATCGCCTTTAAACTTATTGGTTTCTTTATATGTAAGAGTAACACAATACATTATTCAATATTTACTTTTTTATTTTATTAAATAAAATTGTGGTTCGTCTTACCCAACGCGTCCAATAGTGCAAAAAACTATTAATTAACTTGAAGATTAAATACTAATGAAGCAAAACAAACATGAGCTAATTTTATCCATTTTTTTTTACAATTTTATAATTAAGGAAAAATTCGGAAACGTTACCAAAAACTTGTTTGACGTTGAATTAAAAAATTAAAATAAGTAAGTAATAAGTAATTTTTTTTTAAATATTGTGATTATTGCAGTACTAAGAATATTGTCAACTAGTGGGGCGCATGACATCGTGCCTTAAGGCAAATTGCTGGAACATCCCGTACCAAAAACTATTTTTTTTTTTAAAAGATTTTTGAAAAAAAAAAATACTCTGAAAAAATAAGATTTTTGAGAAACTATAAATTTTTGACAAAAATTTACTTTTTTTTTAGAAAAAAGACTTTTTGAAGAAAAATTTATTTTCAAATATTTTGGAAATTCTGAACTTTTTTTAAAAGCAATGGTACTGCTTTAACTGCATAGAGACGAAATTTCGAAGCGCGTAGGCGCCGCGCCGCTGTCTAACGGATAAGCATTGGTATGGAACCCATAGGAATGTAAACAAAATTTAAACTTTCTGTTAAAATCTCTATAAAACATTTGGTAATTTGATGTGCATATGTCTAATGATCATTTTTGACCGCCAGATGTCATTTTTTTTAGTTTTTTTATTAGATCTCCGAAACCGCTAGACCTGCCCTCATAAAAATTTGATCAGTTCTTCATCTTCTTAATACAAGTTAAGTTTAAAATGTTTTTTGAACTATTAAAATCGGACGCTCCGTTCTCTTAAAAACTGAGTAACCGTTTTTGGCACTTTTTGCCCCATATTTTCGGAACGGCTAAATCTGCCTTTACCAAAAACTAATCAGCACGTCTCCTTATCAATAGGAATCGAATGTTTTTTGAATTATTCAAATTGCTTCATCCGTGTTTCCAAAATCGTCGACGAAAATTTGTATCCGAACACACATACACACACACATACATCAATTTTTAAGGTATGCCAAAATATTCAAAACTCCTGAAACGTAAAGATGTATAAAAAATTTTATTTTCGATTTTTTTGCGATTACTTTAACTTGCCCTACGGGAAGTTAAAAATAAGTAATTATCTTAAATTACACATTTTTTTTAAATGTTCAATATTATGATTATTGCAGAATATAAATATTGTCAAAAATATATAAGTATTGCAGAACTAAGAATATTATCAAAAATTATATTTATAGCAAATATTTTCTTTGCCAAAACGTGTAGTGAGTCTGAAAATATTATTTTAATTAATTAGATAAAATGTTACATTTATCGTGAAACTTATGTAAAAATTGGTTGCACGTAACAACTGTGAAATTGAATTTAATAATAATTATTTTAAAAACATCAACGTCTATCACCATCATTTATTCTTGTTAATTTTTTTTACAGAACTCTTATGGACATCTCCGGAAGGCCTGCGTGCTTTATCCGGCAACAAGGGCTCGAAGAAAGGTATGGCTCCGGCTACGCAGCCAGGCGACGTGTTTAGCTTCGGAATAATCATGCAGGAGGTCGTGGTTCGTGGTGAACCTTACTGCATGCTGTCGTTAACCCCCGAGGGTGAGTACGAAATTTGCCTAATTGTATTTACACGCTACACAACTCGATTTTAGCAATATTAATGACTGAGACTGCCTACTAACCGGAGACCTAATACAGCAATAAATGTTTGGTTATGGAGATTTCACTAATGAACTATAACAATATATTTTGTTTTGTCGTGGTTATGGATTCGATGTAAAAGATAAATTATAGACACCGTTATGTTGATGAAAATTTATTACATTTAAGTAAAACAACAATTAGGGTGGTCCTTAATATGGACATTTTCGAATTTTCTTGCTCCCAAAGGCTCAAATAGTTTCAAATTGATAAAAATTCTCTGAAAGTTTTAGCTCATTGTCTTTTAGATAGAGCGCAATTCAATCAAAGTTTTGTATGAAAATAGCATGAACAAATGTTCAAAAATTTTGCAGAGCGTCGAATTTTCAATAAAAAAATACAGAAATTTTCACTTTCAATTTATTTGTCGCTAAGTTATACCCAAAATTTTTTTTTAAATTTTCAAATTTTTTTCCATGCTATTTCCATTCTAAGTTTGATTGAATTGCGCTTTATCTAGAAGACAAAATTAAGAGCTAAAACTTTCAGAGAATTGTTTTTTATCAATTTGAAACCATTTGAGCCCTTGGGAGCAAGGAAATTCGAAAATGTCCATATTCAGGACCACTTTGAACTATATAGAGTAAACCGGAGCTTAAAGATTCATGAGTAAAAAAGTTCACCGCAATTATCTCAAAAACGAGTAAAGTATGGATTTCAACGATACTATTTTAAAACCGAAGACAAAAGATGTGTAACCAGGTGTCATCTTTAATCTTACGATGTTAGTAGATGAACGGCTATGTGTTAATTCTAATTTGTTCTCTAATTTCTTGAATTGGTTTATATTTATTGAATCAATATTTAGAATAAGTAAGCTGAACTATTTTTAGAATCTCAATTTTATAGAAAATTTTATAAATTGCATCGATTGCATAATTTGAATTTTAATAAATTAATTTTGTCAGTACTACAAATAGTATTAAAATTTCCATATAATCAATATTTATTTTTATTTTCATTAACTATATATCTTTGCACAAGTTCAATTTTTTAATTGATTTATATTTATTAAATCAATATTTAAAATAAGTAAGCTAAACTATTTTTAGAATCTCAATTTTCTAGTAAATTTTATAAATTGCATCGATTGCATAATTTGAATTTTAATAAATTAATATTGTCAGTACTACAAATAGTATTAAAATTTCTATATAATCAATATTTATTTATTTTTTATTTCCATTAACTATATATCTTTGCGCAAGTTCAATTTTTTAATTGATTCTGTGTATATAAATAACAAATATTTTTAAATTAACTTTGTGATATATAGAGTGCTGTAGTAGTGCTACATAGTTATTATTAAAGTTTCGTAAACATGAGGATTATTGAATCCAGAGTTAATTAAGCTCTCTAGCTGTTAGCTTATACAATATTATCACTAAACAGTAAGTGCATTATTTACTGCTATGAAAAATGCACCATAATGTACATAAGCGGATTATGTTGTAATATAAGTGAGTAACTCAAACGATCTGTTATGATACTATATGTAGGGCAGGACGGGGTACAAAGGTCCAATTTTAATTTCAGTGCTTATACTGACTAAACCAAACCAACTACATCTAGAGATTTTATAATACATATGTATTTCTAACATCACAACAAATGGCATGTATCAAACAACTATTGGACTTTGTTCAGTTAAATTTCTAATGAATATCCTAATTATAAAAATGTTTTACCAATTTTTCTAAAATTTGTCGCCGGGGTTATTTTTATCTCATAGCCAGAGTTGAAAGGTATAGCCATCAGGCTAACAGATATAATTTCTTAATTTTAATTTTGAATGGGTTTAACGAAATAATATCTAAATTATTTAAGCAATGCAAAATATAAATTTCATGAGCACATTTTTTTAAATATAAGCTTGTTCTAGTATTTTGGAAAAATATCCATTAAAAGATATGGAATAACTATTAATTTATCTCTTTTAAAATTGCCTTTTTTTAACTTAATCTACCTTTCTATTTACTTGCCCGTGTAAATATTTTAGTTGGTCATTTTTACTCCACCCACATGTAGGCTTTTATAGAGCTTATATAAAAAAACACTATTGAATTTATCTGAAAAATAACAAAACATCTTATTCTTGGTATTATAAACTAAATAAAAGAGCTTAAAACCAAAAAATACCGATAAAACTAAATACTTTTGTTATGAATATTCCTTTCATACATGGCTATTCATTGAGTTAATTATTCGTATTTTAACTTCAGAAATTATAGAAAAAGTAAAAAAACCACCACCGTTGATTCGTCCATCAGTTTCGAAAGGTGCAGCACCGCCGGAAGCAATCAACATAATGCGTCAATGTTGGGCAGAACAGCCGGAAATGCGTCCAGACTTCTGCGCCGTTTATGATCTGTTTAAGAAACTCAATCATGGACGGTAAGTTACAGCATTTTTAGAATTTATATATATATATATATAACATAACAATCATATATTTTATAAAAAAAAACAGAAATATGGGTCAACTGTCAGTGTTAGGGCGAGTGTTTCTTGAAGTATAAATTTTTAATACCCAAAAACTCAAAACAATCACAACAGTAAACAGCATGAATTAAAGATGTCAAAGTTTATTTATATTGGATAAGGATCACAAACTTTTATGCTTTGACTAAACTTTCATAATGGCTTCTTGGAAATGACCTATCAAAACTTTATTGTTTAATGTAGCTGAAGCTTTCAGACATATTAAATAAGCTTTCTTTCAGAAAATAATTAGTTTGTGGAATTAGATTTCTGGCACATTAATGACATTTTGTATCATTATGTTGAGGGTTTAAAAGTTAAGTGGATTTTGTGGAATTTTATTTATCTGCATGATTTTAATAAATTTAGATATTGAGTTAGCGTAGAGCGGTTTTGAAGACTGATATTTTTATGACAATATTTTAACCTATTAATTATTTAATATTTTCAAATAATGTAATTATTGCTCTGTTGAATAATAATTAATTTACTTCTTAACAGGAAAGTCAACTTCGTCGACACGATGTTTCAAATGCTGGAAAAGTATAGTAATAATTTAGAAGATCTTATTCGCGAGAGAACAGAACAATTGGACATAGAAAAAAAGAAAACTGAGCAACTCTTAAATAGGATGCTGCCGAGGTAACTCATTCATTGTGAAATGTTATTTATGTCTAGAATGTACTTAAAAATTATATTAAATTATCTTTATTTTTCAAAATTCATTGTATTCTTGCAAATAGTAGTCTTGCGAAAATGCTCTACAGTAGTACCAATTTTCTTATATATAACTAGAACCGTCACTATAGTAGAATTAGTGCAAAGTTTATATATATTGTGGGTATCCCAGAACTCAACGTCAAACCGAAACTGGGTGAAAATATTACTTCATTTTGTTTGAAAATAGAGCTTTTAAGTGCAATCTACAGCTTTGGTGAAATTGTTATAACTTTAATGTGCTTAGCTTTTATTGCTTTTTTCATTTAAACTTTGGATCCGTAACCGTAAATAGCATTTCTGGGACCACAGTCCAAAAATAATGGCACAATTACACGATATTTTCAAGATTTTAAACTATCTCCCAAACTATGATTTTAGAATTCTTAAAACTGGTCGGCTTTGAAAGACCATCTCTTGATTACCGTAATTAAAATTTTTGGTACGGAACCCAAAAAAAATTACACAAAATGTGTACACATTATTAAAATCTCTATAAGTATCTGATAAATGCCAAAAGCCATTTTTTTTAACTTATTTTTATTAAGAGTCCTTAACAGCTAGACCTGCCTACCCAAAAATTTAATCAGTTCTACATCTTGTCAACATAAGTAAAATGTTTTTTGAATTATTAAAATCGGACGCTCCGTTTTCTTAAAAACTGAGTTACCGTTTTTGAGACTTTTTGCGCCGTATCGTCGGAACGGCTAGACCTGCCTTCGCCAAAAACTATCGGCAATTTTCCTTATCAATACGAATCGAATGTTTTTTTGAATTATTCAAATCGGTTGATCCGTGTACTCGAAATCGTCGACGAAAATTTGTATCCGCACACACACGAATACATACATTTTTTCTAAGGAATGCCAAAATGTTCAGACACCTTTGAAACGTAAGTATATATAAAAAATTTCATTTTCGATTTTTTTGCGATTACTATAACTTACCCTACGGGAAGTTAAAAATGTCTTATTTAAAAATTGCCCAGTATTTGAACCATTAGTCAAAATTTAGTAGAATAGCATATCATTTAGTCAAAAATGTTTATTCTGATAATCCTATTTGCATGCGATTAAATACAAAATCATAAATGGTTTCTGGAATATGAGCATATAATAAAAATTTAGATATACGGATCGACAGAGATTAAGTAGATATCTTGCGCAACGATAAATGATACATAAACAATTCTTGCACAGATGGTTAGCTTATTTGATTTTCTTTATTTAACCTGACGGCAGTGAGATTGTATTTCAATATTACAAGATACAAAGGTAAAAAGGTATGAAATATTAAAGAGATCACTTACTATAAAGATAGAACGCTTCGAGCAGGTCACTTAATATAACATTAGTCAAGAATAAATTCTAAAAGTTTGCTGAAGTCTGACCTATAATCAAACTAAGGTCAATCATTAAATTAAGCGATTTTGTTCTATTTCCAGTTCCGTCGCGGAGAAACTGAAACTCGGTTTAGCCGTTCAGCCTGAAGAGTTTTCCGAAGTGACGATTTATTTCAGCGACATCGTGGGTTTCACCTCAATAGCCGCCCATTGCAGTCCGGTGCAAGTTGTGGATCTACTGAACGACCTTTACACGTGCTTTGATGCCACCATTAACGCTTATAATGTGTACAAGGTAATTAATTAATTACATTTCCGTGCGGTATTGCAGTATCTAATAGCTTTTCAAATATTGACTATTACATTACATTAAATACTGTTGATTGAATGTGATAGATGGTATATTGGCAATTTGTACATGAAATATTTAATAGTAAATATTTTGATTTCGCATTATGCTCATTACGTGTAGTGTGATGGTCTTTATTAGAATACACTAATTATAATCATTTATATAAATCGTTTCCATGTACTTCAAAGATTAAAATAAAATAATTTTGCATTGGAATTTATTGAATATTAGATATAGGATTTAGTCAAGTTTAAAATTCACTGTTTATTTGAAAATATATATATATATATATATATATATATATATATATATATATATATACTAGCTGACCCCGCAAGTATTTCTTCTTTGACCTGCTTTTTGAAAAGTTTCAAGTAACATTCGATGAATTAAAGTAAATTTAATAAAAAGTATATATATGTAGAGCAGGGCGAGGCACAAAGGTCCAATTAGATTTTGAGCAAATATAAACTATATTGTGAAAACATTTCAAACGAATAATTATCTGACTACGTTCAATAAAACTGCCAGCTACTTCATCATTGTAGATATATATATATATATATATATATATATATATATAGTTACTTTATGGTCTGATTTTAACGTAATTCATTAATTTTATCTCAATAATTCATTCAGACTTCTACTCGTGTTTATTTTTAGTCGATTCTAAGTCTATCTATGATTTTAGGTCGAAACAATAGGAGATGCATACATGGTCGTAGGCGGCTTGCCGACTCGAACACCGGATCATGCTGAGCAAATTGCTTCGATGGCACTTGATCTTTTGCACCAGTCGGGGACTTTCAAAATAAGACACTTGCCCGGGACACCTTTAAGATTACGAATAGGACTTCATAGTGGTAATGATAATAAATTCTTATAGTAGAATTTATTTACACATAGAAATATATTAATATACTCGGAAGTGATATTCATAAAAATGCAGTAATTGATGGTCCACAATCCACAAACAAGTTTAAATCATCAGTGAGGACAATACTGGGTGCCAAGATCTACAAAATCACTTCTAAAATTTTTGTCAAAAATTATCTGTTAAACATATTTCTTGAGATCATTTTTGTAGCAATTGCGCATTTTATTCCATAAAATAACTTCATACAAAATTTTAACAGATTTATTACAAAACTTGTTGGGTTATGATAAATGAATATATAGTACAGTGTATATGAAACTTTTGGAAACATTGTAGAAAAAATATGTATATTAATTGAGTAAATCTTAGAATGTTTTTACATCTAATTTTTCAATATTTGTACTTTATTTCTCGTGATTTTTAGGTACACGTTGTTAATTATATATTTCTATATTTTAGGACCTTGTTGTGCGGGTGTAGTTGGGCTAACGATGCCGAGATATTGTTTATTTGGCGACACAGTCAATACAGCTTCTAGAATGGAATCAACTGGTAAGAAATAAATAAATAAATATATATATATATATATATATATATATATATAGTGCAGTGTACTTTTTTATAAAATTACCAGCATATAAATAATTCATATTTAATCTCTAAAAATTTTATATATGTATATGAAGACGTTCTAAATTATTCAGAACAGTTTGACACTCCTAATTAAAAGAACTACGAAGGTGTATGAGGATTCGCCAACGATTCCTCATAATCGGCTACACCAACTCCTAAAATTCAGATATAACTTAATGAGGAATTGAAAAAGTTGAAAAATGCAATTTTTTTGTCCACGATTTAGCCAAAAATCTTGAACCCATGTGAAAAATTTAAAAAATGTTCGAACGACCGGAGTTGGGTATCTAATTAAAAAAAATGTTTATGGAACTTTGAATGATGGTAGAGATCATGGTCTTAAAAACTTGCTTAGATAATATGGGCCTACGAAAAGTGGTTTATCGGCTAAAAATTTGAAATTAATGTAATTTTGTTTTGTTTAATATATATGCCTTTGCTTAATGTTTAAATATTGAAGATTGACGTTGTGTTCATACTACATTTTTATAAAACTATATCAGGGGCACCTGGAGAATCCATTTATCGCAAGCCACTCGGGACTATTTAGAGCAAGCCGGTGGATACGTTTTAGAGGCGAGAGGTTCCACCGAAGTCAAAGGCAAAGGGGTCATGACCACGCACTGGCTCCTAGGCAAACATGGATTCGATAAACCTCTTCCTACACCTCCCACTCTTGGGTATGTTAATTTGATTGTGAAATTTTATTCTGAATGAAAGAATATTTCATACTTCATACTTCCTGTGTTGAAGTTTTCGACTACCTTAACAATTTAAGGTATGAAGACATTTTTAAAAGTTGAGTTATTTTCTATTATAATTTTGTGTGGGATAAGATTTTTTTATGTATATCGCTGATTAACGCTAATTAATGTTAACAATTTAAGGTATAAAGACACTTTACAAGTTGAGTTATTTTTCTATTATAATTTGGGTGGGATTTGATTATTTTTATGTATATCGCTGATGCAAGGAATGAAATAATACAAGGTGACCATATTTTTTCCCATAAAATCTGAGACGGTTTAGAATGTGTGTGTGAGAGCGGGGAAAGAGGGGGGGTGTTGATGAGCTAAAATCTTATACTCACATTTTTTCTGTGCAAATTTTCTAGTTGAAATATATTTAAAAATATATTGGCAATCAAACATTTTTAAAAATCCGGGACAAAACACCTAAAACCGGAACAAATATTGCTTTTAGATAAAGCCGGATACAAGGCGAAAATCGGGACTGTCCCGGCCAATCCGGGGTGTATGGTCATCTTAAATAATACAGTATTTTATTATGTGACTGACAGTTATATGATCTATACAAGTTTAAAAATCGTCATTTCCAAGTGAAAATAGGCCTTTCCGGGCATTGGTGCAAAAAATTGAATAATAAGTTATACCATATTAAATAAAAAAATATTATCAGATAATTTTTGTAGAGAAAAAATATTAGGTAAGAATTATATATAAAATACGAAATTCTAAAAACACAGATCGGATATTTTTATGTACTTTAAAATTACTGATATCAAGACATTAGTTATTATATGTTTTGTTTAATTTTTATGCTTTCTGGATAGGCCGATGAAAGGGTAAGTTTATTTTCAATTGTGTGTTATTTCTTTATTAAGACTTTAATTTCACTTTGCGCGTGTAACTACTTACAAGTATATTTTTCAGAGTAAATGAAAATATTATCATAACTGCGTCAGAAACATCGCTTCCAGCTAGAAGTAGCATGACAACACATTCATTTCAAAGGCGTTCTCTTGAATCAGCTAGCGATCCTGGAACACCGTCAAAGTCTTGTTACGAAAAACACTACGGAACACAACAAAGAGATCGTTATACTTTTGATGTTGAAATTTTCAAGAAACTCAAAACCAAATAGATACTTATTTTGCTAAACATGATTTATACAAGAACTCGAATTTCTCATAGATGTGAGCGATCCAGAAGCAATTGAAAATCTCAGAAGTCCAGATAAGAGGCAAGCCCATCTCTCTTGCTCTCAAGATGCAAGTGGAACAAGTTACCATAAAAAACTTCTTCGACGTATGAATTAGGAGCAAACCTTTTCTTTGAACCTAGAAAAAGTTTTAGTAAATCAGGCATGCATGCAGATGTAATAGAGGAGCATGATCTCAGCTCGCCATACAACCATTATCGGTTTGAGCCCTAGTGATAGTAATCTTAGTCAACCAACAAATTCAAAATCATGCGATCATCGATTAAGGTTTCTAAAAAGACAATTTAGTTTAGATAGAGTGAGGAGCCATGTTAACCTCGACAAGCGATAATTTACAGGTCAGAGCACCTTTGCACAAACAAAATTCAGCCGGTGCTGCAAATGATTTGGAGAAAATAGAAGAATTACCATTAAAATCACCGAAAGTCAGCACTATACCAAAAAATGCTGTATCACTAAGTGTAGACGCTTTGGCGTTGCATTAAAATTAGTATAACATGCATTTAAAAATGTTTTAACAAATATTTATTCATTATATAACGTTGCATTACATGGAATAATTGTGGGGACAGTTCAGACATTTTCTAACGTATCTCCTGTAAAATAAATGGCGCAGTTAATGTTAAATTTAATTTGATTGATACTTTTGGGATCATCATAGATAAATGTTACAGACAATTAATTTTTTTGTCAATTTTTATTTTTTCTGCTCTTTTATGCTTAAAAATCAATCAGCTATAGTTCACCTAATTTGTAAATAATTTTTATATAAAATAAGGTTGTTGTAATTTAATTAAATTTACAATTGGAATTAATAAATATAAGTCAGAGTGTAAATATTGCATAGAAAACATTTAAAAATGTAGTTGGATATATATTAATAGCTAAATTTTTATCATGATAAATGTAAGTTTAGTAATAGCATGTAGCTTAAACATTCAGTAAGAAAGTAAGTCTCTATAGCAGGGTATTATTTTGTTTTTAATATGTAGTTAAATAACTAAAAGTTATGGGATTTAGTTATTAGATCATTATTAAAGGTTTATCTATTTACTTACAAACATTAAATTGTATATAAAAGTTACATAAATAAACATTTTACTTTTAAAGATGATAGGTGTCGATATTTTACAGCATATAAAAATTTT